ACTGGTTTCAGCAGTAACTTTTTTTTGATCAGTGGCTTCTTAAATGCCGCTATCTCTATGAATCCTAAAAGGTTCTTTTACTAAATTTATTACTCTCACATTTCCTTAACATTCTACCATTTTCTCTTGAATGTGAATAATCACATAGATTACGATTAAATCAGTATATTTAAGGTATTGCTGATCTTGGAACTTACATATCTGATTATTGCCATTAAAAATATTTCCCTTGCTGAAACCAGTTTGGTTCAGGGATAGAGCATCAGCCTTCGGACTGAAAGGTCCCAGGTTCGATTCTGGTCAAGGGCATGTACCTTGGTTGCGGGCACATCTCCAGTAGGGGGTGTGCAAGAGGCAGCTGATCGATGATTCTCTCTCATCGATGTTTCTAACTCTCTATCCCTCTTCTTCCTCTCTGTAAAAAAATCAATAAAATATATTTTTTAAAAATATTTCCCTTGTAGAAAATAATTATATCACAACTATATAAAAATGTATTAAACATTATGTTCCTCATAAAGTTAGTTACAATATGACCAGAATGATTCATTTGTAGGTATATACCCAAGAGAATGGAAACTATGTTCATACAAAAGCCTATACATGAATGTGTCATAGCGGCACTATTCACAACAGCCAAAAAGTGAAAACTACCCAATATCCATTAATAGATGAACAAAATGTGGCATATCCATATAATGGAATACTATGTGGCCATAAAAAGGAATGAAGTACTTACTATACAATGTGGGTGAACCTTGAAAATAGTATACTAAGTGAAAAAAATCCAGACACAAAAGATCAAATATGACATAATTCCATATATATGAAATGTCCAAAATAGGCAAATCTGGGGTCAGAATCTAATTTCTGTTGTCAGGAGTTGAGGGAGTGACTCCTAATGGGTAGGGAGCTTCTTTTGGGGTGATGAATATGTTTTGAAACAAGTTAATGATGGTGTTGTATAACCCTGTGACTATAAGAAATGCCACTGAATTTTTACTTTGAAAGTTGAATGATATGGCAGGTGAATTATTATCTCAATTTTTAAAAATTCAATCAGGATTATGTTGTCTGCAGGCAACAGGTATATCAGGCTAAATTTTACTTTAAAAAAATTATGAATATTGCCAAAATCAGGTTGGCTCAGTGGATAGAGTGTTGGCCTGTGGACTGAAAGGTCCCAGGTTCGATTCTGGTCAAGGGCATGTACCTTGGTTGCGGGCACATCCCCAGTAAGGAGCATGCAGGAGGCAGCCAATCCATGACTCTCATCACTGATGTTTCTATCTCCCTGGCTCTCTCTCCCTTCCTCCTCTCTGAAATCAATAAAAATATATTTTTTTAAAAATAATTACTTTACAACTCGATATTCAAAGGTCAGAATGTACATGGCACAGACCATGCTGCCATTCTTTAAAGAAGTGATTTCAGTCAACTGTGGTGTAGTATGCAGGAGCTTTTATTGTTGCATTTTATTTTTTATTTTTATTTTTTTAATATATTTTATTGATTTTGTACAGAGAGGAAGGGAGAGAGATAGAGAGTTAGAAACATCGATGAGAGAGAGTCATCGATCAGCTGCCTCCTGCACACCCCCCACCGGGGATATGCCCGCAACCAAGGTACATGTCCTTGACCGGAATCGAACCCAGGACCCTTCAGTCCCCAAGCCGACGCTCTATCCATTGAGCCAAACCAGTTTCGGCGTATTGTTGCATTTTAATTATGAGTCATAGAGTGAATAAAGAAGTTGTGAGCACACACACACCCGGAAGCAGAAAAAGCATAAAAGGATAAACAATAGCTGAAGTTCGACGGGTTTTGAATTCATATATCTTGTCAAGAAAACAAGCAGTGCTGTAACGGAAAGGGCTAGTTCTGCCATTAACTAGCAGAGCGGAGCAACCTTAGCAAAGTCATTTGATCCTCTATAGGCCACCGTTTTTTCATCAGTAAAATAAAGAACTGGACTCCAAGGTTACTAAGTCTTAAACTCTCATCAGGCTTTAATTCTATTGTTAAGTAGCTTAGGGCTATGGGAGGCCCAGTAATTACACACTAGGCAGCTCCCGCAATTACACACCAGGCATTCTGATATTTTTGTGGACTTAAGCATCCACACTATACAGGGTAAGAGAACTACTAACTGCAGGGAAGAAGGAAAAGAACAGTGCAAACAGCTCCTGCTGGTTCTGGTTTACTCCTGTTGGACCTAATAAAGAGAAAGCACCTTGGCCAACTTTCCAGTGAGTAGGAGTGGTTCATATGTCTCACCACACCCATTATAGTTGGTTTTTCCTAAAAGAAATCCAGTGGGACTCTAAAAAAAATGCCGTAAACCATCAAATACCTTTAGTCACTGCGTGACTAATAAAACAGATCAATTCTAAATTAAAATAAAACAGCTTTCCCTTTCTAATACAAAAAAAAAATACACAGCTTTCATTCCACAGTCAAGTAGCCCTAGGTGACCAGTGAGTTCCACAGATACTTAGCAAAAACAGTGTCAATCCAAACAAAATGCATTATCTACAGAACTAAAAAGTTCAAAACACTGAGGTTCCAAAAAACATGATCATTCAACATAACCTTTTGACACAATTCAGTCTAAAACTCCCACTTCCAGAGCAAAAAGCAGTATTGAAGACTCGCTGAGATTCATCACCTCTTTCATAGCAAGAGACAATCAGACCTGTGATGACAGAAGGCACCACCATAAGAACTGGTTTGCGTAAGTCAAAGATCAGACAAAGGAGGCCAATGTAAGTTGTTTCAGGTGGCTTCCAAGATGACTTTCCAGAAGAGCTCCCAACAACAGGACAGTCCTAGAGAAGACTTCCCCTGATCTGCACAGAACGCACGCACGCACACTTTTAAAATAGCTTTTTGTCAAATATAGTTGAAGAAGCCTGGCCACATTCCTTTCAGGAGGGGAATAAAGCTGTGGTTGAAAATCTGAAACCCATGCATGCACCTCTAGATAGTACGTGGATGGACTTCATGGAGTCAGTAAATTCCCTGAATGAGCCTTTGGGCACTCAAAAATTCTGAGAGACTGCACACCACCGATTAAAGCCAGATATAACATAGAAGAAATCTACTGGACGTGCCCATATGAACAAGACAGGAAGCTATTTGAGGTGCAAAATAACAAGAGGTGCTGTCGTTTGAAAGCAAAACAAAATATGATCTGATGGTCAGAATTCCTTGAGGGTCAGATAGTCCACTCCCTTCATCCTTCAGTCTAGATGAGGAAAATGAGCTGAGAGACTCTTGCCCAAAACCACAGAATCACAGGGCTAGTAAGTTGCAAAGCTGAGTACCAAATTAGGCCAGGTTTCTGCCAAGATGACATGCTGACACTTTTTTCAAAATGGGTTTGACCAAAATTATACAAATCTTTTCATAAAAGCCAGCACATAGCAAATCTGTAAGAGGAACCTTAGTGGCTCATTATTCCCTTATCCTGTTGCACTATGACTGCAATTTGAAAAAGCAGCACAGGTCACAGGCTTATTGAGTGAAGCACTTCTAAATGTAATAGAAAAAAAGACGGCCACTGGTAGCCTTTTAATAAACATACTGAATCAAGGTCAAATTGACTTCAGATTTGTAGCATTTCAATCTGCAAAAGCTCCTCAACCTTCCAAGGAGTCTTTCTCTTTTAAAAGTTAACATCTAGAGTGTTGTTTAAACATTAATTGACTTTTTTTTTTTTTAACCCAGGTAATGGGGTAATTCATAAATTGAGAGCAACCTTTCTAGTTACATGTTCACAAATAGTACATGTAGTAGAAGCAAAGATAATAGGCAGTTATTCTGAGATCAAATTAACAAGTAATTATTGTCGTAAAAAGTTACAGGACCATTTGTTCCAATGCCAAACTCTGCCTCAGCGTATGACGTTTAAAGTAATCAAAACTCAATCTCACCTGAGAAGTGAAACCAAAGTGACATTTGAACCCGAGTTCAATGACAGCTTGCCCTTCAATTTCAAAGTGCTTTATTAAAAAGGCATGTAATGGCACAGCATTCCATGGCATGTCCATGGTCTCTACAGGCGTACATTATGGTAAAGCCTGTGATCGATATTTAGCCCTCTCTGCAAGCTCTCACCCTGGTCTCCCACCTCCAGAGGTGTAACAGGAATAGGCCTCGGGAAGCACCTGTGGCCTCGAAGGCTTTGACCAGTTCTCCAGGCTTTCTTGGCTGCAGCCTAGAAGAAGGTCTGACTATTCTATTTTGGGTCAAGGGGACTCTTCCTCCACCCTCGGTTGACCTCAAGTGGGCAAGAACAGTTTGGGATAATGCACGGAGTGGTTTTTTGTTTTTGTTTTTGTTTTCACCGGGCCAGGGGCCCCCATTTGCGAGACTCGGGAAGACTCGGAAAAAGGATGGAGATCTGGTCACCATCGAGGCGGCGAAAAAACGCGGAGGGGCTGTCGCGGGGCTGTCGGGCTCACGACAGTCTGTCTGCTCGGGATCCAGAAGCCCCAGGCCGGGCGGTGGCGTCAGGATCACTCGAAGGAGCAGAGATCCCCGGGAGACACGCAGAGGGCGGGCGGAGGGAGGGCACGAGAGAGAGAGCGAGGTTACGAGCCTGCAGGTGTCTGGGACGGAGGGAGGGGCGGCGGGAGGGGGGAGGGGGACGAGGTCGCCCAGGGCTGGCACAGCCAAGTGACTAAGCGGTGCGGCTCTGAACTCGAGCAAACTGGCCACACTCTCCGACCGTGTGACCTTGAGTGCGTGGCCTGACCGCTCCGCGCCTCAGTCTCCCCACCTCGGCAATGGGGGTTGGCCAAGCGGAAAAGGCACCTCGGAGCGCTCGCTCGGCACGGCGCCTGGCACCTAGTAAGCGCTCCTTTGCGTGAGAACCACGACCGGCTGGCTCTCGGGCTCCTCTCGCTGCCCAGAGCAAAGAGGGAAGTCCCGAGCAGGGGGAGTCCCCGAAAGGCGGATTCCGGGCTGGGGTGCGAGAGCCGGGCCAGGGGACTCACCCAGGACGTCCGCGGAGCGGTGCCGGGCCACGAAGCACGCGTCGTCCCCGTAGCACGCACCCTTCTTGAGGAGGCCCTTACGGAAGTCCTTGCCAAAGCCGCAGCCGGCCGTCACCAGCCCGTAGTCGCCGCCGCCGCTACCGCCGCCGCCGGCCCTGGGGTCGGTCTGCGAGAGGCCGCCGAGCACGGCGCGGGCTACCAGCCGCCCGTACGAGAGGACTGAGAACATCGCCGCCGCCGCCCCCCCGAGGAGGCGGGGGGCCCGAGGAGCAGGAGGACGCGGAGGCCCGGAGCCGGTCCTCTCTTCAGCCGCAGCCGCGCCGCCGCCGCCGCCGCTCGGGCGCTCCTCAGGGCGGCGCGCGGTCACTGCCGCCGCCCGCGCCCGCCTCGCGGAGCCTCGCACACGCCCCGCCGCGCGCACCGGAGCCAGAGCGAGGTCAAAGCCGGCGGCACCTCCGCCTCAGCCCGGCTGGGGTCCCGGCTGCAGCCACCGCTGCCGCCGCCATCTTCCGCTCCACTAGCGTGTTCCGGGCCGCGCCGGGAGCACCGCCCCCTGTGTGGCCCCGCCCACTTCCCCGCCCATTATTCGCGGCTTAGTCCAAAGCCCCGCCCCTTGGGCTCGGTGCCCTTCGCGAGTACCCGGCTCGAGAGTGCGCAGAAGGGTGTGAACGCAATGCCTCCTGGGAGTTGTAGTGTTTTTTTAACTTCACTGCCTGGCATCCAGGACTTCGAGGATTTCTCCTAGACGTGGGACCTAAATTATTGAGAATTAAGGTGGACTGTTGGACAGTTTTTCTACCCTGTTTTAACCATATCTTTTAAAGGCTATTGTTTTAAATAACGCCACTATTCATTTTAAAGAAAAACCTGAAAGAAGCTAGGATCAAGTCATATTATTCTGTAGTGTATATATATTATATATATAGAAGAAATTGAAGTACACATATCTAGTGACACCTTCAGAATTTATATAGTGGAAGCACTAGGGCTGGCAAGCTGGAAGGAAAATACTATACTTTGCATAGTATTTAGGAAGATTAGAGAAAAGGTTGTATGTCCCTATTAGAATGGGAGAGGGGATGTGAATGTGGCAAGGAGTGACAGAGATACAGACACGGCCACTGCAGATATGTTATAGAGAAGTGTTTCAGACTTTGTAGATGGTCCTGCCAAATTGAGAATAAATAATTTCAGACCTCAAATATCGTTGCCCCAAATCTTAATTTTCTTGTGGATCCACCTGCAGGTCTCCCAACCTCTGGCTGGGCGCCAGGAGAGGTCACGCAGTACCAGAGACTTGCAGAGGGTATGGACCCTTTTCCTCTCTCCTTCACAGCGCCACCTCTTCCTGTCCAAAGGACAGCCCTTGGCTAGAAAGGCAGCTCCCCTACTTCTTTTTTTTAGTTCTCAGCCCACCACTGACATCACAGTACCTTTTCCAGATTTTTACTATTATTTAAGCAACCTTCTTCTGAAACTATTTAGGTTGAGTAATATCTAAATTTATTTTTAATATATTTTATTGATTTTTTTACAGAGAGGAAGGGAGAGGGATAGAGAGTTAGAAACATTGATCAGCTGCCTCCAGCATCCCCCCCCCCCCCGGAATGTACCCACAACCAAGGCACATGCCCCTGACTGGAACCAAATCCGGGACCCCTCAGTCTGCTGTCCAACGCTCTATCCACTGAGCCAAACCGATAAGGGCAGAATAATAACTAAATTTAATGAGGAGTTTATAATCTAATGAGGTTAGCTCACCAAATAACATGTTCGTATGTACGTATGAATGTACATTCAAATTATATATCATGCCTAGAGGTGCTATACCCAATATATATATATACCAGATGCATTGGTCCTTTTCCAGTTCACTTTTGACAGAAGTGTACTTACTCCCGGGATTCCCATTTCATTCTTTAAATTTTATTGTGTTTTTATTTAATATACCTAAACTCCTGCCAACCACCTACTTAAAGCACATTATTCTGTTTTATTCTGTTTTATTCTGTTATCCTAATTATTGTCATCATTTAACACTTTTACAGTTTACAATGTGCCAAAGTACTCTACATATTTCTGACCTTAAGGGTTTTCATCAAAATTGGATGGAATAAATCGTTTCACATGGTGAGTGGCATTTTGTCAAATGTGAAGACCAAAAAAATTCATTTACTGGATAGAAGATAGAGTGATCCCGAGCATGCAATCACACCTTGCTATTTTTTTATGGCCCACAACAATTGGAGAGCACCCAGAAGAGGGAGTGGAGCCTTGTGGATCCTTTGCTTGGCATTTACGTCTATGCCAGCTGTGTTAAAGGTTGTTCTTTCGAGCACACACACCACCATCAAATCCCAGCCAGGCTGTCAGGTAATTCTACCCCAAGGACAAACTTTTTAAAATAGCATGTCCACTCCTTTCCTTGCCTCATCAACTCCTTCAGATTGCTCCTGCCTTTCATTTTCAGGGCATATATTACTAATTTCTGTGTCATTCGCACGGACCGGTTGGATGAGACGAGCAGGAACATAAGCTGTGACTGAAGCTGGTAACCTCCGCTCTGATGTGGTGGCTGTTTTCACAGGGAAGTGATATGGGTGCCTTGAGTTTCTTGCAAATGAGCTTCCTGCAGACGAGTTGCTCACCAAAGTACAATGTGAACAGAATCCTTTCTCAAAGCTCCGTTGCACTTTTTGGAAAGGAGAGGAGTCAGGGCCTCAGGTTCCCTTTGAATCATTTATTCCAGAGCCAGCATTGAAAAGTTTCACCATACCAAAACCGGTTTGGCTCAGTGGATAGAGCCTCGGCCTGTGGACTGAAAGGTCCCGGGTTTGATTCCAGTCAAGGGCATGTACCTTGGTTGCGGGCACATCCCCAGTGGGGGGTGTGCAAGAGGCAGCTGATCAATGTTTCTCTCTCATTGATGTTTCTCTCTATCCCTCTCTCTTCCTCTCTGTAAAAAATCAATAAAATATATATTAAAAAAAGAAAAGTTTCACCATGGTGAAGCCAGGAGAGGGTACTTTGGGAAAAAACAAAAACAAAAGAAACACACACACACACAAACAAACAAACAAACACTTTTCCCTGCCCTCTCCCCGGAGCACAATTCACTTTTTGACATTTTGCTCGACTTCAAAAGCCCTAACGAGTTTTCTCCCTTAATAGAGTTACATTCTTAACACCTCAAGGATTCCTGGGAGGTCAGTTGTCACTCTCAGGGGCGAAGAAGTAGTGAAAACACCATCTGTGTTCCCAGGCACCTCTGTGGCATTAGGAAAGAGTTTTGCACTGGAGTTACCCCCAGCTCCTAAAAAAAGAAAAGTAAAACAAGAGGCACGAATTCCCTAGTGAGATTTTCTGCCAGACGGGTACACCGATCTCTTCTGGTTTCTATTTGCTAACCTATTCAAAAGGAGCACTAATGAGATTATGGCAAGGTTTCTCCACCTTGGCAAAACTGGTCATGGTGGGGGTGCCCTGTGCATGGAAAGGGGCTTAGCAGCATCCCTGGCCTCTATCCATTAGATGCCAATGGCATGCCATCACCTCCTAGTTGGGACAACCAATAACGTCTCAGATATTGCCAAAAGCCCCTTAGGGAATAAAACCACCCCTGTCTAGAACCACTGGGTTATATTAATGCCATGCACATAAACAAATAGTTGGCAGAGCACTCTGGGCTAGGAGGGGGGGAAGCAGTTGGTGCCTTCATGGCCATCACAGTATAGTAGGAGGGTTAAAATTAAGTAAATATATATAGGATATAAGCATTAAGGGTTGAGATAAAAGAGGTGTGTGGGAAAGAGAATGGGACCCATTGGGGCCAGAGAGCACAAGGCATCTCATGAAGAGGTGACCTGTGTGAGAGGCCTGAGTGAACAGACTGAGGTCTGCAGAGGAGGTAGAACCATTCCAAGAAGAAGAAATGGAAACTCAATGAATGCAAAGTGTTTGCAAGAAAGCAAGTAGTTGAGTGCAGCTCAACCTGAATAAAGAATAATTAGAAATGAGGCAAGGAAATTAGTTTAGGAACTATTAGGCAAATAGTTTAGGAACTCCTAGCCCATAAAAAGGGATGAAGTAATGATACATGCCTGGAAAGCAATGAACCTTGAAAACATTATGCTAAATTAAAGAAAGTAGTCCCCAAAGACCACATATTGTATAATGCTATTTATATGACATGCCCAGAATAGGCAAATCCATAGAGACAGAAAGCAGATTAGTGGTTGCCAGGGGCCAGGAGGAAGGAGAATGGGATGTGACTGCTAATGGGTATGGGGTTTCTCCTTGGGGTAATGAAAATGTCCTGGAATTAAATAGTGGTGATGTTTGCACAAACTTATATACTAAAAACAACAACAACAAAAAACATTGACCTGTACATTTTAAAAAGGTGAATGTTGCCCTAGCCAGTCTGGCTCAGTGGATAGAGTGTTGGCCTGCGGACTGAAGGGTCCCAGGTTCAATTCTCGTCAAGGGCACATGCCCAGATTGCGGGCTCCATCTTCAGTAGGGAGCATGCCGGAGGCAACCAATCAATGATTCTCTCTCATCATTGATGTTTCTATCTCTCTCTCCCTCTCCCTTCCTCTCTGAAATCAATCTGTATATACATGAAGGGTGAATGTTGTGGTACGTGAATTACATCTCAGGAAACCAGTTTAGGACCTGTTGTAGAGGGCCTTACATGCTAAACTGAGGATATTTAAAACTGGACACACCAAGGGGAGGGGGGAGGTTGTCACCAAATGCTTTTAATATGCCAGTAGTAATAATAAACATTAAATAATATTACAAAGTATAATAAAATAATAAAAAATAAAAATAACAATAGTGATGATGAGAATAATAATGAGAGAACAATAGAGACCATAGATTGAGCTCTTACCATGTGCTTCACCTCATCATCTGCTCTGACCGCCTATTTATTTATTTTTGTTTCGCAAAATATATTTTATTTTACTTTTATTTATTTTATTTTTCCCAAGGGCCCTGTCCTTTCCCGAAGGCCGGAACCTAGCTCTGAAGAGCCAAGCCTACCCCATAGAGCCTAACCAGCCCCGAACAGCTGAGCCCAATCCCGAAAGGCAGAGCCTAGCCCTAAGAGCTGAGCCTAGTCCTGAATGCCCAGCCTCGCCCTCGAAGCCTAGCTAGCCCCAAAGAGCTAAGCCCAGTCTGGCCACCTATTTAAACACATGACCACCCAACTGTCTCATCTGT